TAGTACTGTATTTCTTCTTCATTTTACATAATAATTCTCTTTTTGAATATTCCTGAATCAAGCATATTTGATCATTCCAGGTTTACATGAAACCAGGACAGATTCTCAATGTGGTCTCATTCTTCTGAACTCTACTGTATGCGACGTGAAACATATTTTTACTAAATCTATCACATGTGGACCATGGATGTTTCCTACCTCTCAACATAGATGCTTTTGTTGGTTCCCAGAAGGAAGAGGCTGTTAAGGATTCTGTAGCAGGAAACCTGGACATCACCCACTGAGGCAAGAGAGACAAAACTTGTAGGTAAACTGACATCATCGTCCAGATGAAACGTGAAGTTTTCACTTACAAATGAGGTCTTCTCCAAACATGTTCTGTCCGATGTGTTCAAACAGTGAGGAGAGGACGGGGAGCAGGGCGAAGGTGGTGTAGTTGATGATCTGAGTCGCTCCTCGTGGTTGGTCCCTGCTGTGAGTGAACTGACCGAGCTTCAGGTTCTCCTGAGTCTTCTCAAGATCCTTCGCTGCGCTGTCGAAGTATGACCGTAAAGCCGCCTTCACTGACTCCAGGCCCGTCTTCATCACTGTCCTGATAGAGTTACATTAATATCTTGACAAGAGATGTTCTTTTTTCAAACACGAAAAAAGCACTTTCAGAAAATATGGGCGCATTCAACCAGTCTGATAACTACGGGGCAATTTTACCAGTATTAGCTAGTAAATATTATTCATTCAACGCTGTCAGGATTTTACTAAGTTTCCAACTAAATGATGTTGACGATTATTTTTGTGAGAGGCCTCGTTAAACTTTTAGAGAGGAGAGTCACACAATGAAACATAATTATCTGAGGTAAGAATTCACTGTTATACACATAATGATTATCCTTTATCAGTCTGAATTTTCATGATGTTTCCAGACAGAAACACATCCATCAAACCTGTGCTTACAGCTATACTGTGCTATTCTCTTAGATTCTTTTTAATCTTTTTAATCTTGTTATTTCAGTCAGCTATAATTTGAAATGATGGGTTTTATCACTTGCATTGAGAACTAAACTTTGTATTCTAGGCTTACTTATGTAAGTTTGTATTTTATGGCATTCATTGACTCGGATTTCTGTCAAACACCTGTTAACTAAATTTCTGGGGGTAATAACAGATGAAAAACTTAACTGGAGAGCTCACGTAAGATATATTCATTCCAAAGTATCACGTAGCATTGCAGTACTAAACAGGTATTCGACAGAACATCACTTCATATTCTCTACTGTTCACTGTTTTCACCATGCTTAAGCTATTGTGCAGAGGTCTGGGGCAACAACTATAAAACCACATTACATTCACTTTTTACTCTTCAAAATAAAAGCAATTCGAATCATCCACAGTGCAGGTTATAGGAACATACAAACTCACTATTTTTGCACTGAAATATTGAAAATTGACGATCTAGTGAAATTCCAAACAGCACAAATTCTATTCAAAGCAAAAAATAAAGACCTGCCAGGAAATATTCAGATTATGGTTTTTTTGAAAGAAGGAAGTTATAATTTAAGGGGTTTTTGTAACTTCAAAACAATAAAGGTTCGTACTACAAGAAAAGGCTTTTGTGTTTCTGTTCATGGAGTGAAGCTGTGGAACAGTCTGAATATGGAATTAAAGCAACGTCCAAACATAAAACTGTTCAAAAAGAGTTATAAAAATATGATCTTCTCGAACTATAAAGAAAAGGAAAATATTTAAATTAAGTGAATGTCTCTATTTAAAAAAACAAACAAACAAAAAAAAACTCATGATGTGATATTATAGTATATAGTACATTAGAAATCTGTTCACTATTTTTATTACAAATTATATCAGTAAGAAGCTGACTAAATATTAACTGATAATTTATGGCAAAGGGGTGGGATTAAATAAGTGTTTACTTCTTCCCTTTCAACATGTAAATTAATCAGAACGTTTTTTTTTTTATGTAGTTTGTATAGTATTTTTCTCTCTCTTATTTTCTTTTCTAAATGTACTTGTATACTGTTCACATGTTGAAATAAATTACCAAATCAAATCAAACTAAACTTTGGTCTCCTGGCTGATACACTAGTTTGTTATTATGTCTCTGCCCTTCAAACCCAGACTTTACCACTGTGTTTAAAAGAGGACTGCTATCTCCTGACAGCTAATATTGCAGCTTATATTAACGACTACCACACTCAGTGTAGTTCATACTGCTTTGGGTTAAAGTCACTGATTCCTTTTCTCTGTGGTACTTATTTTGGAAAATCTGCGTTGATTCATGTTAATTTTTCTGTATTTGTTCTTTTGCTTTATTCATTTATGTTTTTCCATAGAAAGCTGAAAGCATTCCCGTCATTCATCATCATGAGGTCACAGCTGGTCACAGTTTTACCTGGCATCCAGGCTTTGTCCCAGTATCTGCAGACAGTTGACGATGGAAGTGGCATTGTTCCCTGGTGAGAGAATTAGCTGTGAAACTCACATCATGGAGCACAAAGGCTTCACTCAGTATTTGTCTTGAATGTGACATTTTTAGCACAAAACCACACGTACACACCAACTGTTATGTTATGTTGAGGAAAATGATGTTCCTTGGAAAAACAATAAATAAACAATTATAAAATAAAGTTTATGTTAAGTGGAAATGTTACACTTGCTACTTTTACCCTGTCATCAGTGGCTGATAGCAAAGGCCATTAAATATCAGAATAACTGATATTCTAACAGCTTTTGCTTTACATGCAACTAATAATTATCTTTCATTTTTGACATTATGTTTCTAAAGTGCCCATTTTTGAGTCTGAAGAAATGGAACATCTTTTTCCTGTGAGGACGCAGTGATTTATACACCCACAATACCATGCATGCACACACACTTAGGGATGCCACGACAACTCATACTTTGCTACCAAGTCACTGGTAGAAAAGTCTGTTCA